GCAAGGCAGTGGCTGTACGAACCGCTGGTGAGGCACAAGGAGGTTGTTGATCCCGCCAAGCTTGACGTTGATCTTGAGGCAGAGGTTGGAGAGAGTCTGCGGGGAGGTTTTCACCACGTTCTTGACCTGGACACACTGCGTGGCCATTCCCAGGAGAGTGTCCCCAACGCGCTTCACCTCGGCTGCGGGCAGAGGAAGCAGATGAACACACCGGCAATCGGCAACGCACCGTTCCCAGCAGCATCCCTGCTCCCCTCCCCGCTCCCCTCCGCCCCAGACACACCATACACCGGCGTTTTCCCTGGCAGGATGACGATGATGAGCTGAAGCCCTGAATAGGTGTTCTTGAGGTGTCGAAACATGGGCTCCACACTGTCTGCGCCCTGGGCGTATTTGCAGAAACAGGGCTGGCCTTGGATCGGCATCCCTGCGTCTTTGGAGATCTTGCGCAGCTGGTCCGTGAAGTTCCTGTGCCGGGAGGAGAAGCGTTCAGCACTGAGCCCTTCACACCGCGGCCACCGAGCGAGAAGGGACCCGTGGCGGGAGGGCTGCGGCACAGGACAGAGACGGGGACATCGCATCACCACGCCTGTCATTTTATAGCATCCAGCACACGCAGGGCACAGGAAACACGAGACCAACACGTGTTAGGGCTGAACCATCCCCTCTCGGTACCCTCGTACCCAGGTCCTGCCTCTCCCCGATGCCGGAGCTGTGCGCCGTTCATTCTCCGACAGAAAGCTGGGGAAGGGGGAGCAGACCCGCTGGATTTCCAGGGGATTTCAAAGGTTTCCAGACCCAAGTCTTCACTTAACAAACCAAAGTGTTCAGCCCCACTCTGGATTTTTGGATCGCCAAGGATAAATTTGATGCAGGGAGAGCCGAGGGGAGCGCGGGGCTCCCAGCTCTGCCCAAGGGTCACACGAGGAGCGGGGTGTCACTGCCACCTCCACTGCTCACTGCAGGCATAGATACCTTGAGCTGCTCCAAACCACCCCAAACATTAACTGTGCGAGACACCCAGAAGAGGCACACAAAACGCTCGCCTCGAAGCATCCACCCTTGGTCAGGAGAAACCCGAGTCCCCAGCAGGATCCAAACCCAAGGCGACCATTCCCTAAACCAAGTAACCTGTCTGCTCTGTGTCACTCTGCTACCAACGCAGAGAATCTCCAAGCTGCCAAAGCCTTTCAGAAAACCTGAGACTTCTCTGGAACAAAAACCTGTGGGAGCTTCCTATGTGAATTGTATTATTTCAGGAAGGGTATTGGGGAAACTTTTAATTAAATACCCCTAAGAACCCACCCCTCCGAGGGGAGTTCAGCACAGCTTTGGGGCTGGCAGAGGGAGATGCCGATACTGCAGCACCTGACGCACAGAGCAGAGCGAGGAGAGCTGACCGGCAGCTCACCCGTGCTGCTGTGCTCACTCCTGGCAGGCTTTGCGCTGGCTCAGGGACTGTTTGCAGCCAGGATAAACAGCCAGGCACTCTGGATAAACTAACAGAAACGAGACTGAACACCCAGCCTGAACCCCAACCAATCTGTACCACGAGCAATTCCGATCCCACATTAACGACGAAGGACGTGCTGACCCGGCCTGGGAGCAGCGAGGTGGCCGCACCACGAGCCACGGGTGCCCCACGTGCCACAGGTGCCCCACGCCATCCCTCCCACGCGGGCTGTCCCTCTCCTTACTTCAGCACCTCCTCGCGACACTGCTTCTGTGGGGCAAAGCACGCGATCGCCCAGACTTTGATCTCAATGCCGTTGTAGAACTGCTTCCCTCGCATGTCCCACACGCCCTGGTTGGGAGTCGCGATGGCCCGGTTCTGCAAGGCAAACAGACGGTCAGAGCGCTGCCGCGTCCTGCCCGGCCCCGCACCGGCAGCCCCCTGTGTGCCGTGGGCATGCTCCCCAGCACAAAGCCGTACACCCTCGCCGGAGCCACCTCCCTGCGCTGCCAGGGTCTGCCACGACGCGTGGCGATGGGCGATTCAGGATCTCAGCTCCCCAAAGGTGATGGACAACTCACCTGAGCACCCCTCTCCCCTTCCGCTCACCTTTTTGTCACCGAATGACTCTCGGCTACAACTTTTAGAAGAGTTATATTCCAAAAACAAACCCCAAAAACCCCAAGCCCAAGGCACTGTGATACAAAATTCCAGCTCTAACCTACAGTCCTGAAGGTAGCAGAAATTTTGTCCAGAAACAGCGTTTCCTGGTGTGAGCGCATCCCTCTGCACGACGCAGCCCAGCACCCAGCAGCGCAGCCCTGCTTACCCTGCCTCCGTACTGCAGGATGGGCGCCGGCAGGACCCTCCCCGTCACCTCCGTCATGTCATCCTTCACCTTGATCCCAAACTCCTGAATGTACGGATCCAGGTTGTAGCTGGCGTTCTTCATCTGCAGAGGGAAGGAAGGGCCATGGGAGGGAGCGGGACCAGCTGCTGCATCCCACGCAGCTCCAGCCAGCTGGGAAATGCAGGCACCTAAACTCATGTTCTCTGCAGAGCTGAATCCTCTCCGTAAGGGGAGGACTCCCCGGCTCGTCCCCGCCTGACCGGCAGAGTTCCTGTACTGCAGCCCCACAGTCCCCACGTACACCCAGTCCCAGGGTCATTTCTCTAATTTATTTTCCTATTTTTAGTCCCAGCTCCCTTTGGGTCAGGTTCCATCAGCGCAAGGACCTGACTTTGCTGCACAGGAGTTTCCACGGTCACTTTGAGCCGCGCTCCCCCCTGCAAGTGTCCGTTACACACACACAGGCATCGCTGACGGGGATTCAGGGAGAAGAGGGGGATGAACCCAACCCATGAATCCCACCAGCATCTTCCGAGCAGGTCACAGCTCCCCAGCGCAGAGCAGCCGCGGAGCAGGACCAGGACCAGGCTCATCACAGCCTCAGCGCCGTCACCCCC